GTATTCAAATAAATCACTATCTTACAAGAATCCCAGCAATGTAAGTTATATTCACCCAGGTCGTTTGGGTGGCAAATTATGAGAAGAGTTTAGTCACTCTTAAGTAATGATAAATAAACACGCAGGCCTTCAGCGCCAACTGTCAAATCTTATCTCAAATAAATAAACAAACACCAGACACTCTGTCACCTCACCCCCCCGCCCCCGCTCCCCTCCCTGTTCCCCCCTCTTCCCATGCTTGCTGGCTACCCCCCTCCTTGTGTTCCCAGACAAAAGATTGGTGATAACTTTATTCTTTAAGGTGTTTATTTTATATAATATCTCAGACTAAAGTTAGGAGATTATAATTTCATTGCTGGAATCCTTGTAAGACAGCCAATAATTTGAATATAAACATCATACATTTTGCTCAAGATATAAAAATTGTAGTACATTAGTGTACAATACTGTAGTACATTTTATAATACAGTATGAAGTTTTTCAACTGTATTTTTGGGTAGATTTACATAAATTTCTTCATTTATTTTCATCCATTTACATGCACACACCATACTAAAAGAAACATAAAAGAAATAAATGACCTTAGTGCAAAGCTGGAGTGCACATGTACTAATTTCATTACGGTACTAAAATTGTTATGTCTAGTGCAAATTACAGCATGTTTATATTCAAATTACTCAGTATATCACAAGAATCCCAGCAATGTTAATTATATTCTCCCAGGTCATTTCACTGGCATTTTAAAATGAGAGAAGCTTAGTAGGACTGTTAAATAAACACACAGAGACCTTCGGCTCAAACTGTCAAACACATCACCTCAACCCCTCGCTGGCTGGCTGGCTGGCTGCGTCCCTCCCCCCTCTCCCCTATCTGCTCAGCCAGGGTTTTAGGCTTACAGTTTTTATCTTATACAATATTACCCTGCTTTACATGGTTTTCACTTTCCGCGATTTCTCATTTACGCGGTAGGTACCTTGCCAGAACCAGACTTTCACTTTCCGCAGTGCATCTACTCATATATGTGGTGAAGTATAATTTTTTATTTTTTTAGCTCATAAAATTCATACAAATTACCCGGCCAGAATATAATTTGCATTGCTGGAATTCTTACAATATGATGATCATTTTGAATATAAACATCATGGATTTTGCATTAGACATACAAATTTTAGATCTAATATAATAATTTGGTTTACACAAAGGAAATATTTTATCGTTTGTGCAAAGTATATGAAGTTTACATTCAAAATATTTCCTGACCTGCAAGGAATCCAGAAATGTCAATTATATTATCCTAACCTTAGTCTGAGTTATTATTTATTACTAAAAATGTAAATATACTATTTTCTCCCAAACATGTCTCTGGTTGGGAGGGAGGGACGGACCCAACTAGGGCGGAGGTGGGGTATTTTGATTGACAGATAGTGTCCTTGAAGAATATTTCTTTGTTTATTTACTGACGATATTTGTTTTAGTTCATAAAATTCATACAAATTACCCGGCCAGAATATAATTTACATTGCTGGAATTCTTACAATATGATGATCATTTTGAATATAAAATCATGGATTTTGCATTAGACCTACAAATTTTAGATCTAATGTAATAATTTGGTTTACACAAAGCAAATATTTTATCTTTTGTGCAAAATATGTGAAGTTTACATTCAAAATATTCCCTGACCTGCAAGGAATCCAGAAATGTCAATTATATTATCCTAACTTTAGTCTTAGGTATTATTTATTACTAAAAGTTATAATCTAGTGTTTTCACCCAAACATTTCTCTGGTAGGGAGGGAAGGTGGGGGGTGGGGGGGAGGGTTGGGACCGACCCCCAGCTGGCGTGAGTGTGAGGAGGGGGGAGGCAAGGTGGGGTACTTTGATTGACAGATAGTGTCGTGAAGAATATTTTTTTTATTAACTGAAGATATTTGTTTTAGCTCATAAAATTCGTACAAATTACTCGGCCAGAATATAATTTAAATTGCTGGAATTCTTGCAATATGATGATCATTTTGAATATAAACATCATGGATTTTGCATTAGACATACAAATTTTAGATCTAACGTAATAATTTGGTTTACACAAAGCAAATATTTTATCTTTTGTGCAAAATATGTGAAGTTTACATTCAAAATATTCCCTGACCTGCAAGGAATCCAGAAATGTCAATTATATTATCCTAACTTTAGTCTGAGGTATTATTTATTACTAAACGTTAAAATCTAGTGTTTTCACCCAAACATTTCTCAGAGAGGGAGGAGCCAGTGAGCTGGGAAGAGGGGGTTGTGGGGGAGTTGAGTCCATTATTTGAATGGACATTAACCTGGCAACTGTATTTCTCTTAAATATTAATTGTGTGAGCATACCATCATAAAATTAAGATGTTATTTTTACTACAACATAGGTATTGTGTCGGAAAAAGTGGAGTTTGGGGGTCGGGCCAGTCTCTATTGGAATTAATCCCATATGTTCTGTTGTTTACTTTACGCGTTTTCCGCGGTACCCTGTGGGTTCAATTGACCGCGTAAATCGGGGTACTACTGTATATCTCAGACTAAAGTTAGGAGATTATAATTTGCATTGCTGGAATCCTTGCATGACAGCCAATAATTTGAATATAAATGTCATATATTTTGCTCAAGTGATAAAAATTGTAGTACATTAGTGTACATTTTATCATATAAAGTTTTTCAACTGTATTTTTGGGTAGATTTACATAAATTTCTTCATTTATTTTCATCCATTTACACGCACACACCATACTAAAAGAAATGTAATAGAAATAAATGACCTTAGTGCAAAGCTGGAGTGCACATGTATTAATTTGATTACGGTACTAAAATTGTTTTGTCTATTGCAAATTATAGCATGTTTATATTCAAATTAATCAGTATGTTACAAGAATCCCAGCTATGTTAATTATATTCACCCAGGTCATTTCACTGGCTTTTTATAAGAGAGAAGCTTAGTCACCTAAGAACTGATAAATATACACGCGTTAGACCTGGGCCTGTGCCAACTGTCAAACGTACTACCTCCCCTCACCCCACGCCCCCTCGCTCGCTCCCACCCTCTCTCTCCCCATCTGCTCGCGTTGCTGGAATCCTTGTAAAACAGAGAATAATTTTAATATAAACGTCATGTATTTTGCACAAGAGATAAAAGTTAATCACCTGTATCACATTACAGTAGTGATTTAAGAGTAAAAGTGTATATGTGTGTATACAGTCAACCCTTACTTTACGCGGTCCCACATTCCTCGTTTCCAGTTTACACTGTGCCCTGCCGGAACCCAGGATGCTCACATTCTGCGGTGCGTGTACCCCCTTTACACGGGTGAAGTATAATTTTTTTATTTAGCTCATAAAATTCATACAAATTACCCGGCCAGAATATAATTTACATTGCTGGAATTCTGACAATTTGATGATCATTTTGAATATAAACATCATATATTTTGCATTAGACATACAAATTTTAGATCTAAGGTTCACTCTGAGTAAATATGTTATCTTTTGTGCAAAATATATGACATTTATATTCAAAATATTCCTGGTCTTACAAGGAATCCAGCAATATCAATTATATTATCCTAACTTTAGTTTGAGGTTTCATTTATTACTATACCTTAAAATCTAGTGGTTTTTCCCCCAAAATTTCTCAAAGAGGGAAGAGCCAGCGAGTGTAGTGTGAGAAGAGGGGGAGGGAGTTGAGTCCATTGTTTGAATGGACATTAACTTGGCGACTGTATTTCTCTATTTCTCTTAAGTATTAATTGTGTGCATGTACCATCATAAAATTAAGAAGTTATTTTTACTAGAACATAGGATATTGTGTCGGAAAAAGTGGAGTTTGGGGGTCAGCCGGTCTCTATTTCATTTAATCCCATATGTTATGTTATTCACTTCCGCGGTACCCTGTGGGTTACATTAACCGCGTAAAGTAAGACCCAACTTTATAGTATTCCACATACACGTAAGTATAAATAAAAAGTTTATGTGATGATCGGACAACGTCCATTTCGGTTAACGTCACGTTTCCAAGAACGTATCTAGGACGTTAACCGGCGCATGACTGTATATACAATGACCCCTCGTTTAACGAACGCCTCGGTTAACGAAATTTCGGTTAACGAACTGCCTTCCATAAGGATCTTCAATTCGGTTAACGAATTTCTTACGAACCGACCTCAACATGTTTTCGCTTGCACTGACCGGGCAACCAGCTTTAGTATCAGTCCGCCAATACATTAATCGGTTCTAGGGCTTAAATTCCTTACTATTTTAGTAAATATCAAAAAGTTTACACTATTCAATAATTTTAAAAGTTTAATATTCAATTTTTTAGTCATTTTAACAATTATTGAACATAATTGAAGGTAAAGTGACTAGTTTAATGCGCGGCATCCAGCCTCTTAACACAGCAAACAGGCGTTAGTCTCTCTCTGTTTTCACTGGAGGTAACATCTTGCTTGAGACTCACTTCAACTAAATGCTTTTTTCTGTGTTTCCAAGCAAATTATTGGTCATTTTGAAATATATTTTACATATTGACAATATATAATGCAGTGCAGTGTTGATTTAAAAGAAAATAATCTTGAATTACACCGAGAGCTAAATTTTATGGGTGAAATGGCACCATGGGGTGACTTCTCTTCCACCCCAATGCCTTCTTCTTCTTCCTTCTCCTCCACCCATTCTAAATCCATCATCATCATCATCATCATCATCATCATCATCATCATCATCATCATCATCATCATCATCATCATCCAGGAGCCTTCTACATACACACCTCAAAGTAAGTGAACTTTTCTACCATTTTTGTTGAATTTAGGAAATTTTCGGTGAGCTGGAACCAATTACCCAAAAACCCATTGAAACAATGGTTTCGGTTAACGAACTTTTCGGTTAACGAACGACCTTCTGGAACGGATTGAGTTCGTTAACCGAGGGGTCACTGTATATGTATATATATTAATTTCATATATCCTGTATTTATATCTTTAATGCCCCATCTTTACCAGGTTGGAGGTAAGGCTATGTGGGTGACGATGGCTTCTACTGTGCCAGGCCTGAATAGGTCCTGGCAAAGCCTTAAAGAACATTATAGGAAGTACACAGTAAATCACCTCCAAGATTTTCAACTGACCGATAAAGAATTAGCAATGTTTAGAACCTCAGGAGGTAAGTAACTATTACAATTTTTTTTATGTTGTAGGTGTACAATATTATTAGCCAACACATTCATTTTTGCTCGACCCTTCTTTACCATGAGCGCCACCCGATGTAAACAAACATATCCCTCATCATACTGCACTTCAACCTCTCATCGCACAGTGTGAGAGGTGAAGTAAATTCTGTTTCACTTTTCTAGGTTTTATTAAACAAAGAATATAACAAAAGAAACCAAAATATATAAGAAACACATTAACCATATATGGACTAACACAACTTAAGGACAGAGTATGACACGTTACAGTTACCGTATACCTGTACCCACACTGTTTATCTTTGATAATTATTTATACATATATCTACACGATCTCGTCAACCAGATCAAATGTAGTTTCCATGAAGAAAAAATAATAGTAGAATAATTTGTTATATATGATATCATATACTGTACATTATACTAAAATGTTCATAGCTGGGTTATGGGTAAATATATAAGTCAAAATCATTACTGTACTATGCACAGAGTAATGCTATCTTTACTTACTTTGTGATTGATGTCAGTTCTTGTAAAAAGTAAATGGTCTTGTGGTCTGACTTGAAGACAACTCGGTTAGTGTGCCCTCGGACAGGTTAGGCCGGCACAGACACTTCTCTGGGTCTGCCTGGCTCAACTGTGTCACGTCATCCAGAGGATGTTTTGAACATGGAAGGAGCTATTTTTTATGCATAAAATAATGCTAAAGTATCTTGATATGCTATGTATAATTGTTGGCATATGCATTTTGAAATTCATTCAAATTAGGGTCAACTTCCACTTGTTATATCAATTAACAAGAACCTCACTATTTATATAGACTTTTTGGTGTCAATATATCAATTGTTTAACTTCTGACTCAGCTAAGTGGTGGCAATGACTGACTCTGGCTGTAGTGTCTGTGTGTGTGTGTGTGTGTGTGTGCGTGCATCAGTGACTGGCTGTAGTGTCTCGTGTTTGTGTGTGTGTGTGGTGACTCGTGTGTTGTGTGTGTGTGCATCAGTGACTGGCTGTAGTGTCTCGTGTGTGTGTGTGTGTGCGATCAGTGACTGGCTATAGTGTCTCGTGTGTGTGTGTGTGTGTGTGTGTGTATGTGTGGTATTAGTGACTGGCTGTAGTGTCTCGTGTGTGTGTGTCAGTGACTGGCTGTAGTGTCTCTTGTGTGTGTGTGCGCGCGTGTGTGCGCGCATCAGTGACTGGCTGTAGTGTCTCGCGTGTGTGTGTGTGTGTGTGTGCGCGCCTCAGTGACTGGCTGTAGTGTCTCGTGTGTAATAATAATAATAATAATAATAATAATAATTATCGGTTTATTGAAAAAATTCTGCAGCCCGAAGGCTGAAAATATACATTGGACATAAATGACATATTACATACATTGGTGGTTTAACAAAAGCCTTCATTATAGAAAGGTAAAGGAACATACAGTGAACATACAGATTAATGTAGGTGTTGAACAGCAAACTCGTAGTGTAGTAACTCCCTCCCAGATGGTGTTAGGAGGAACTCACGTGGTGTAGTAGTTCCTTCAGATGGTGCTGTGATGGACCTGGCGTGGTGTAGTAATTCCCTCGGAGATGCTGTTATGAGGGGCCTCACGTGGTGTAGTAATTCCCTCACAGATGGTGTTATGAGGGACCTCACGTGGTGTAGTAATTACCTCACAGATGGTGTTATGAGGGACCTCACGTGGTGTAGTAATTACCTCACAGATGGTGTTATGAGGGGCCTCACGTGGTGTAGTAACTCCCTCACAGATGGTGTCATGAGGGGCATCACGTGGTGTAGTAAATCCCTCACAGATGGTGTTATGAGGGGCCCGACGTGTAGTAATTCCCTCACAGATGGTGTTATGAGGGACCTCACGTGTAGTAATTCCTTCACAGATGGTGTGATGAGGGACTTGACGTGGTGTAGTAATTCCCTCACAGATGGTGTTATGAGGGACATGTGGTGTAGTAATTCCCTCACAGATGGTGTTATATGAGTGAGGTTTGGTCTTGGGCCTTCCTATCGTAGACGGATTAACACATTGATGGTTGTTGTTGGGTCTCACGGGCCGTTATGACTGGGTACCTGGGACCTCACTGTATGAAGGTTAACTTGGGTACTGCTGTTACCGTTGAGTTGTTCTCACTGACTTAAGCACTGTTCACCACTGTTCACCTCTGTTTAACACTGGTTTCGTTCCTTTCCAAAATGAAATTGTAACTTCTGGCGAGAACTTGTTGATATTCCGGTGGGGAGGAGGGTTCAGGGGAGGGGGTTGGTATGGGCCAACTTAACAGTTGACCTGGCTGCTCCGAGAGGAGCGCCAGGTACGTCTTGACCCTTCGATGGTCAAGGATGTATATGTAATAATAATTATAATAATAATAATTAACGGTTTATTGAAAGAGCTTGGCAGCCAGAAGGCTGAAAATATACAGTTACATATTTGGGGAATGGGTTACGAATTACAAATAATATACAAGTAACATGAGTGACACAAATAAGACATATAATAACTAGATGGGGAAAAGCTCAAACTACAGTTCATTTCAACATAGTGACAGTGCAAGGAGTAGTGTTTACTGGGAGTGAATACACTGATTTATTACAAGTTTGATAATTTTTACAATGGTTGGGACTGGGCTGCTTATAGCGACCGTTAGGCACGAGGCTGGATGCGGTTGTGGTAACAACAGTTCTCGGACTAGGGATCTCAGGTGGTGAGCCGGGTGTCGGGATGGTGTAGAAGCTACTCCTGCAGATGAGGTCGTGGTGATGGTCAGTGAGAGTCAAAGGTCAGTGTGTTGAGCGCTTGATATGGAGTAGGAAGGGAGAGAATAATCTGCATGCCTTGCACTTTTTCTAGGTGTTTACGCTAGGGCATTGAGGAGGAAGACCAGGTGGGGGAGGCATAGGTGAGCTTAAGTATGAATGTTGTGAAACACTGAGGAGTCCTGTGCAGGAACCCGAGGACTTGAGTCGGCGTAGGGAGGTGGAGACGAAACTGGAGGATTTGATAACTTCACTGACGTGTTTCCAATTTAGTTTGTTGTCTATGTGGACGCCGAGAGCTGCTGGAATCTACAACCTGGAGTGTGTTCAGACCTAGAGTAATGGAAGGAGGGACAATGTCGGAGGAGAGGTTGATGTATAACCATGGTCTTGGTATGGTTGATGGTGACATGGTTGTTGGTGGCCCAGTAGGGTGTGTCATAATGGAGGCGAATTTTTTTTTTTGAGTTTGAAAAACGCTCATGGTATTACCGATGAAGTTCTATGTGCAGAATTATGATATCTTCAGATTTGAAAAGTTTTCAGCCTTTTGCTAGGTACGAAACTTGAAATCTTGGCGAAAATTCAGTATTCCCACCCTTTACCAACACCACTAAATAGCTTTGAGTTTAGCAAAGTAAATGTATCAGGTTAATTTATTAGGATGAAAATGATCCAGAATAGTGAAACGATCTTTGATGACATTTATTAAATTTATTCTTTAGAAACAAAAATAACTAAATACAAAAACCGGTTTTACTACTACTTAATCCGGTGTTGCTGCACACCATAGAGAATGATGTCTTTTCGTTTCTATTTCTACTCATCACCTCCTCAGTTGGACCACCTGTCGACAGCCCTCTCCTCCTCTCCTGGTTGTACACGTGGACTGTTGGGTCGCCACTTGCTGTACACACAACGTTTATACTCATGCAAGGAAAATATGGTGACATGCATGGGGTTGTCCAGGAAAGCCTGGACTTGAACATTGGTGAGGCTGCAGGTAAGAGGGGGGCTCACTGTCAGCCTGATGTTATCCAGATTCATGAGATCAGCGAGGGCCTTTGGCACCTAGATTGACTCCCCAGGAGTCAGTTCCTGACCCTGAAGGAATCATCACCAACCGATTCGTCATGCCCAGATCCTCTCATAAGTCTCATATCCAAGAACTTTTGACTGCCAATTTTCTCTCCCCTCCTCATCCCACGGTGTATATTGTTCGCAGAACTGCTCGATACATACCCAGAAGAATCTCCCCACAGTCAATCTGAACAACCTCTTGGCTGACTCTCAGGAGCCTGCCAAGAGAACATGCCTCGACCTTTCGGAGGAACGATGACTTGACCTTGCGTTGAACCAATTGGCAAGTAGACACCACGATGAATTGGACAATAAGTCTCGTGCCAGAAGCTGGTTCCTTCAGCTTATGATGAGCGACCCAAATTCCTGCAGAACCTGAGAGCCGCTAGAGCCACTCCAGAATGTGAGATCAACTGGATTCAGCAGGTAAGCAAAGTCTAATAACCAGTTTTTATGGCACTGCAAATCATGTAACCATAGTATTGGCCGTGCTCAGGTTAACTATGTATGTGCTCAACGCAGTGGAGGGCCAACTGTGATTTTTTCAAAGCTCGGATTTATTTTCACCAGTGGTGAGTCCAGCATCTTGCCAAGAGGACCAGACCATCTGTTGTTTGAAAGAGTCTTGCCATCCAGCTCCTGATCAGATGTCTGAGTGGGCAACTGCTGTGGGAGGTCAGCAACAATCCAGACCAGCTTCCTCCCAATCTTCCGCCTCTATCCACTGTAGGACTCCCCCCCTTGCCACCTCCTGTGTTCGTGTTGGTGCTGTCCTCCAATGGCCTGCAGGGTCTGGCTCTACTGCCTCTCTGGAGCCAGTTCACAATGTTATCTGCCACTCATCTCAGCTGGAGCCTCCTGGATGTCACTTTTCTGGAGGAAATGCCACAAATACTTCCTCCTGGTTTCACTGCAGCAGGAGTAGTGTTCTCTCCTCACATGGCAGGAATCAACTTGTCAGGAATCTCCAACTTTCATGTAACACTTTAAAGGTCCTTTTCTCCAACAAAGAACAAACAATTGATTCACTTTTATCCCTTTATCAAACCTCTTCTGTGTTACTGACAAGATTCTCCTGAGCTCTCTCATACTTTTGTTATGAGGATCTATCACCAGGTGAACATCATCAAAGTTA